CTAAAAAACCAAAAAAAAAAAAACACAAAAAATAAAAAAAAAAAAAAAAACAACAACACTGAAGTGGAAAAATATATAATAATTACACTGATAATATAAGTGAATCTAAAATTAGGTTTTATTTATAAAATACACCTAGAAAAAAATGTAATAGTTGAAAAAAAACAGCACTGATGTGGAAAAATATGTAATAATTTAAATTATAATATTAGAAGTGAATCTAAAATTAAGAGCAACTCAAAAGAAAAACATAATAGTTTGAAAAACAACATTGAACATGACAATGTTATAATAATTAAACTGAAAACATTAAAGCAAATAGAAAAATCATAAATCATAGAAGAAACTACAAAAAAAAAGAAAAAAAAAACTGAAAAAGACTGTAAGAAAGAATTATCCATGAACTTGATGTCTGAACTTTTCAAAAAAAAAAACTAGAGCATGTTAGCTAGCTGAGACCTTAACATAGGTAAAAGCCAAACACTTAATCTAGACAAATACTAAAAATATGAGTCACAGTCATGCAATATCACTATTATCGGTGCATTTTCGAACAATCATATATACAGCTGAATATACTTGCACAAGAATAAAACAGCAATCAATGCACATGACTGTTTCCCATGCCTATCAGAGACAGCTGGCAATTACTTTTCCCCGAAAAAATGACCAAATGTAACATAACGGCTCTTACCGGTGGTTGTCAGTATATTACAAAAACAAATTTTAGTAATTTCGCATATTAACATTATTTCAGTTAACAAAATGTACATTTTTTACTCTAAATTTAAGTTCAAGCTTAAAAATGTGCTAACAATTCAGTCTAAAAAACTTTTTTCTTAATTTTTCTGGCATTTGCTGGTGTTTTTTTTTTACATATATTTTACAGATTTTTTTTTTTTTGTCCTTTCATTGCATTAATTAACTTTAAAACTTCATAATCTCAGTTGCAATTTGAGACATCATGCCAATATTCTTAGAAAGTTAAGCACCTATAACATGAAGGCAACATGCAGTAAATGGAAAAAGCGCTACCAATAAATCCTAAGGAGACGTTAATGATTGGCCTGCGTTACCTTCAGCACTTCCATGGGCGAGTGACATTAGCAGCCCGAGTCCTTTGGGATGCGGCAGATTTAGTTGTAATTATCACAGTCTGTGCACAATAGCACAGAAATCAGTAACAGTCTATAGCTCCGCAGACTAACAAGGAATCAAAGCTATGAAAAGATTTTGAATGTAGCTGAGCAAATAGGATTAAAGATTCCAAGAGGCTGGAGCACAGCATGCATTAAAGAGGAATTCTCTGGGGAAAGATAATCCCCATATGCGTTTTAACACACTTCACTGTCCCCTGCCCACCCCGCTCCCTCCCATCCCTCCCTCACGGACAGTATCATAATCAGACACGCTTCAGCTGATAAAGACTCAAGTTCAAGTTGAATTGAGTGGTCAGCACAGAAGAACAAATGCATTATATGCTAATGCTGGCACAGCCAAAGCATGGAAAGTTGTGGAGAATGTCAGCATAGAAAACATGGTCAGCTGAGGCTTTGCTGTGAAATCCTGTTAAATTCTTTGATTTCACACGCTGTTACAAACCAATGTGTGTCAGAATTCATAGCGCAGTGCAAGTATGTGTTGCATTCTCGGTGTCGCCACAAGGCGCTATAGCGAGCATTAGCATAAACACATATATTAAATTCGTTGATGGCGGGGCTCTGGGTGACGGAGGGCTGTGCGTACGCTGAGCTCTGCCGTCTCTGCTGCTCTCGTCGCTCCTGCTCTTGGAGCTGCTCGCGCATCAGCTGCTGGCGGAGCAGGATACGAGAGGTCACAGCCGACGAACCCAGCGGGGGCTTAGAGGAGCCATGCTGCTGCTCCGATGGATTACTGCAGTCAGACAGAGACATGGAGAAAGAGAGAGAGTTTACTCAGGGAAGAAAGTGGGGCTCTGTACAGGGACAGTGTTTGGTACGCTAGGGATAATTGAATTATTCTGAGATCCTGGTAGTGGTTCATTAGGAAGCATAATGAGTTTGACCACAGGAATAGAGTTGGGAAGCTATGGAAGCTATTGGGACAAACTGACAGGAAAGCTAAGTTAAGACAAGCGTCACTACTCTACAGTTAGGAATTTGAACAAATCCCTAAGTATTAAACTTCAGTGCATAACTTATCCTACAAATGTTTGAGGACAGGTGTGCTGTTACTCTTCTAAGTGATTAGAATTTTTACCTATTAGACGATATTATAAGTGAAGAAAATCCCACAGACTTATTCTGAAAAAGTGCCAGTAATCAATCACCTTGCAAACCCTTTACGACACCATCTTAGCAACTACACAGCAACACAATAAAAATAGGACACATCAGCAATCCCATAGCAATGTTCTACCACTGTGAAAAAACACTTTAGCATACTTTTAAAAATAGAGTACGTATTACGAAAATAACACGTAAGTGAAACTGAATGTAATGTTTTCGGACACTTAATTGCATGAAAATGTATTATAGTGTATATTCATATTAAATGGAATTAGTTGAACATGACCTACTTAAGTACATCTTTATATGAAACTTCATAATTACATTTATTGTACTTTTAATGTACTGCTGAATGTACTGACAAGCATTCATTGGTAAACTAAAATATACTTTAATGTTATTTCTATTGAAACTTGTATGTCATGTATTTCAATATATTTGTAATTGCACATTTGTAATGAAACTGCAATTTAGTACATATTAAAATGTATTAACTGTAAATGTAATATTGAGTAACACACTACAGTTAAAATTACAAGCACATACTTTACATGTGCTTTAGTATGTTAGTCAGCACATTAAAATAAGTGTACTTTAAAACATAAAAAAATATTGTTAAAACATAATGGTTTAAAATGTACTTTACAGTAAAACTTATCATTTGACATTATTGCAAAGTGTACTTAAGTGTGTTAAGAAACTGACATTAAAGTGAACTTTCTTTAAGTACACTTAGGTGGCCTTTTAATTCATTAGGCCACGTTCATACAGCAGCAGAATACGGTCAGTCCTGTATTTGAGTCCTTAATACAGTTATATTCACACACCGTTCGGTTATTTACAGGTGTGACAACCGCATTCTGTAACCGAACTCACACCTGTACATTTTCAGGACTCACAACCGCATTCTCGGAACACACGCGCTGTGTGAACGGAACCGGACTGGACAACTACTTGTCTGTCACGTCATACAGTGCGAGAGAGAGCCGCTCTGCCGCACAAACGCACGTCTACCGTGTGTTGCGTGTTTTAATGTGTGGTTTCAGTAACTTACAGTGACGGAGAAATGAACTGTGTCATATGAAAGTTTTAGATCCAGTCTCCACCGGAGCCGCTCCCATCAGTTTTGTGTTCTGCGCGCGACTCAAATACTCCGCACTTCACCCAAATATAAAGGCTGCTGTCGGTTAATGAAGGTTTGACGGATTAACTCGCGGCTCGACTGTACTCGTCATGTCAGAAAGTGATAAGACTTTCAGTTTTATGGACGTCGCCATCTTTGATATTATTTTGGTCACTGTCGCTATGGTAACTGGTAAGGAATACAGGATTGAGTCCCGTTGCACGTTCATACAGACAGTATTCGAGACGCTACTGTAAGGTGCTGTGTGAACGGGACATTTCGAGACTCACACCTGTATATGCGTAAATGCGGTTATCAATCCCAAAAACTGACAGTGTGAACTAGGCATGGGCCGGTATGAGATTTTGACGGTATGATAACCTTAAGCAAAAATATCACGGTTTCACGGTATTGTCGTTACAGCTCTAAAATGTGTTATTTTTAAATGACTGGGTAAAAAAACAAAACAAAACTTTTTTCCGCTGAACACAATATATTTTGTTTTTGAGCAACATACAGAATATTAGGAACAGTAGAATTTGTTTATTTTTTCTTTGATTTGTTTCCTAAAAAGAAGAAAAATAAAGACTCTAAATCTTTATTTAACCTAAATCTGTAATTACAGTTATTTAATTTTAGTTATATAATTCATATACAGTACATATCATTTATATAATTTCATATACATGCAAATTTTCAAATCGCGGTATACCTTGAAACCGGTAATCGGCCCATGCCTAGTGTGAACGTAGCCTTATTTGCAAGTGCAATATTTTCAAAAATGTATTTCTAAAATTTGAAGTTCACTACAAGTGCACATTCAATAAAAAATAAGCACAATTATTTTTAGCAAGGTTAGCAATCACCCATGGCAACCCGTTTTGCATTGGCAAACATGACTGATGTTTTCTTTAGAAAATTATTTTTCTGAATGATGAAACAATTTTTTTTGCCTTTTATCCATGATAGAGAGTACAGAAATTGGTGGAGAAAAGAGGAGGAAATGGAAATAGGAAATGACGCAAAGTGGCTTCAAATTTGTGACACAGGTCAACATGTTGGAGTAAGAATGCTAACCGCTAACTGCTCCAAAAAGGTTTGTTTTTTTTTGTTTTGTTTTTTTACAGGCTTTTTGCCTGTCCTTGTTAATACACGGTGTGTAGCTGATATGTGTAATCACAGAACTGCACCTTCCTGATGCTGATTCAATGTGACAAATCATAACAATGATTCAAGCAAATCTCTGCCAAGACTCTCCTTCTCCCTAGAAAAGCTATCTGAAGGTGAAAACCCAAATAATGCAACAAAACCGGGCTTCCTCTACATCAGCTGATGTTTTGAGTTTTGCGGCTGTTTATGTTTTCTTTCTCCCACAGTTTTCCTCCCACTATTTCGCCATCCGTTTCTTCTACAGCACCGCAAAGATCCCAGTTCCAGCTGACAAATGCAGAGGAACTTACACAATGCTCCCTCATGCACTTTCAGTTCTCGTCATCATTCAATAGAGGAACTGCTCGCTCCAAACGCCGTGCATTTTTCCGACCAGAAACCCAGATGATATGCCGGTGCAGAAGCTGTCGAGATGAGGCCTTCTCTATCCGCTGATTCTTTTGAAGCGCCCTCCGTCGAGCAGCCAGCCAATCCAGCTGTGCAGTAATCGCTCTAATTAGCCTGTCTGGCCCTGTCAAACACTAGTCTACAGCACTTGCTTAGCATTGTGGTTTAAACATGTGTAATCTCATTACTTTACATTTCTGTTTTTGACAGATATATTTAGAGGCCAATGTTCATCAGAGCAACACCTCAAGTAGCACCAACCATTTTAACTGAATCCAAATTTTATATATATATATATGAAGAGTTCAGATGCAAAAGCCTCTAAGTGCCGTCTGAAATTTTCTTCTAAAATTAGCATTTTTATCAGGCTTTTATATTTATGTTTAGTTATTTCACTTTAATGGCACTTTACATATTAATATATTTAAAAATAAATAAAATAATAATATTAATTATTATTATTATTACTACTACTACTAAATAAAAATACTAAATAAAAACAAGAAATACTACTATTGTAATATTTCACTGTAAATTAAAAAGTATTTAATGTAAAATATAATCTTTTAAATTAAAATATATAATATAAAAAATATAAAAATATAACAACAGCCCTTAAAGCTTCTCTTTTGTTGATAAAATACAAGATACTTTTAAGTACTCATTACAAATATGGGAAGTTGGTTGAAGCATGTTGGATTCCCAAATGCATGTTAAAGCATCCCAAACTCAAAATGCAAACACAGGTGGATAATGATCTGCTCATGTGTAAATGAACACAGTGCTGCGCTTCACTCTGAAAAACACAGCGCATATATTTATTTAATTAAATCACAGCTTTTGATAATTTGATAATAAATTTTATAATTGCACTATGTCATAATCACAATTTCTATTTTATTTCAATTAATCGTTTAGCCCTAGGTCTATGGCAAACTAATGGTTCTGGGTCAGGATAGATGTCTAATGAACTACGGGATATAATGCTGACGTTTTCCAGCTCTTTTTGGAAACTGGAAAATTTTCTGGCAAGGCATATTTTCAATGTTTTGTTCATTGAATGATCAACATCAACTTAAACATTGATGTCCCTCGCAGCTTCGATTTCACTTGAATTAAATTACTTATGGCGTGCACCCTGACAAAAGTCCATAAAATCTTTACACAATCAAACTTATGAAACAGTTGCAAAAATTGGGGAAGAAAAAAAAGAAGAAAGGCGAGAAAGAATAAATGCAGGAAGATTGATTCTGGGTCAGCGGTGTGTAACTCGCGTGTTTGATGCATCATAGTTCCTCAGTTTAAAAACTTATCATGGCTCGTCTGGCACGAATGAATCATGACTACTGAATCAAAGCAGTCAATGCGTGATTCACACAGGACTAAAACCACTTCACAGTACTTTTAACACCCTTTACTGATGGGGCTTCAATATTCAGTAACTGTATCTGTTTCTTTGATTATTCTAAAAGTGCCCGTTTGCTTTGCTAAAGCCAAATTCATGAAACATATACAGTACATTAACCAATCAATTATCATGTTACTATAGTTGAAAATTATCAAACCAATTCATGCAATCTCTTCAACAAATCCTTTACACTGTGGCCTACCTCTTATAGTAAGTGTGACAAATAACATGGACGTGATTTGTCTGTGATTTGTCACCAATTTTCAACCCCTTTTAGCTTTTTGTGCACATAAATGGTCAGTGTAACAGATTAATATTACATTTAATAGTTTCTCAGTGAATATGTGGTGGAAAAACTGAATAATAATTATTTACCTAATATATCTCTATCTAAAATATATTTAAAGTATAGCATGTCACACTGCAGTTCACAGCCTAAATGAATAATTGGTAACACTTTGGTTTAGGGACCAATTCTCACTATTAACTAGTTGCTTATTATCATGCATATTACTAGCATATAGGCTGTTTATTAGTA